GAATTACAACAAAATAAGGAAATCGCTACATGAGAAATCGAGTGAATTAGTGAATAGGTATCCAATGTTGTAAAAATTTGAATTTCAAAAGCTCATAAAAATTTAATTTGACTTTCCGGTAGGGATTTTTTTATTGATAAAGGTATTACAGACAAACTTATGAGTAATCTTGTATTACATTTTCAAATCTTAGATTTAATAAGAAAAATTTTTACGAATTCTTAACTCAAAATAATTTGCTAATTTTCGTGATTTTTCTCCATATTTTGTCAATTTTTAAACTTTAAATGCTTATAAAAAAAAATTGTGACTACAGACTAAGGATTTTTAATATTTTTCATCTGCCTTTGAAAAAGTATACTGGGAGCCTTCTATTAAATTTTCCAGCTTTTTTGACCAACAAATAACATTTTATTGATATTTATAGAATAAAAAAACTTAAAACATTGGAAACTGAAAATGTCCGTAAACAGCTCAAAATATATAAAAGAATTATAAGAATAAAAACACTTATTATCAATATATTGTAGAAGAGAAAAGGGCAGTGGCGTCCGCAGGATTTTTCAATGGGGGGGGGGGCTTGAAAATTAGTTACAAATTTATGGGGCACCCGGGCACCGTAAATGTCCGGAAAATAATAAGGCGGACTGTGAAAATCCGGAATTTTTCCGTAATGTCACGGACCGTAAAAATCCGGAAAAAAATTCCCAAGAAAAGTAAATATACGGACCGTAATGTAACGTATGTTACATCATTACGTTTATTTTATAAGCATCATAATATGCACATTAGGCATATTATGCGCTGACTATAATAATATATTAAGCCCCTCCGGTTTAGGTGACACATATGACATATTATATATTTTATGATTGTAAGGCTCCGGCCAATATCCCTATGTAAGAGAATACCAGTTCTCCGCGAGTCCATCACGTGCACCTGAACTCCGTACAATCCTACATTTTTGGTAACTTTGTGCGTAAATTGTAAGTTATAATAAATAATTTGTTTATATTAATAATAATTTAGATCAATCGTTATTTATTTGTAATATTAAGATCCTAATACCATTCGTGCTCCCGAGCTACGGTAAAAATATATTCAAAAGAATTAATTTCTTCCCTGAATATCTTATATTTAACGGGCCATCCCCGACCACGTTACATATTGGTGGAGGCGCCGAAGCTCTTAAGTAGTTGAAGCTACAGATATTTACGATTGGTTTAGATTTTTATTTTGTTATTAGTTATTAAGTTTGGTTTATTGAAGCGTAAGAAAATAATAAAATTAAAGTGTAGCCGTGTTAAGAATAATTGAGATTTTTTTTTATTATTTAAGATTAACGATATACATGATATATATTAAGTATTAAGAATAAGAGTAAAAGAATTGAAAGAATTACGGGATTAGAAAATGTATGTATAGGTACCTTATAATTTTAATTTTAATTTAATTTTTTTTTGGATATTTACGAGATTTTGTGTTTTAAGAATAGGAGTAAATTACATATAGGGGTTATGTTATCAGAGAAATTATATAGTAAAAATAAAAATTAGGTAGGTAGTTGAATTTTGTTTGGATAGTTACGAGATTTTAAGTTTTAAGAATAGGAGTAAATTACATATAGGGATTTTGTTATCAGAGAAATTATATAGTAAAAATAAAAATTAAGTACCTAATTAAATTTTTTGTTTGGATAGTTACGAGATTTTAAGTTTTAAGAATAGGAGTAAATTACATATTAGTACATAATAGAGAAATTATAAGAGAATTATTTTATTGTAAGTGAACATATTAAGAAATGTTGCGATAAATAAAAGTATAGACAGCAAGTTTTACATAAAACGTAACGTGAACAACCAAATAACAAAAGTGGATAGAACAAATATATTATATCTGAATGAAACTTTTAATTCCGAAATAAACGAAATTAATCTAATAAAAATATTACGGCAAATCGAAGAAGTCGATATAGGTAACTATTTTTCAAATTCCAGGTTTGGAAAGATACCTCTGTCAGCAAAACTTGTTCAAAAATTTACACTGTGCTCTCTATACGTAGTTGAGACTTTAGAAAAGGAAAATTTTAACCAATTACCATTTACCAGCACAAAAGAAATTTGAATTTATAATTTCCCAGCGAACAGTTGCGTGGATAAATTTATTAAATAAATCGGAAATAGTGGGTTTCTTAGAATTTTGTAATATACATAGTGACATTTCATCGACAATTAATGAATTAAGAAATCTTGCAAAATCAGCATTAAAAAGTTTTAGGAACGACGAAGACGACGCTGAGGATAGCTTAAACGAAACAGAATTAACTTTTACAGAGGACAATTCACAAAATAGTGATCAAAATTTATTGAACGTAACTGTTGTTGAAGACGATTCTAATCAAAAAAAAACTGAAACAGAAAATATAAATATTAAAAAAAATATATTAACAGCAGATCCTATACATTTCAAGGTAGAAACCCACAATAATACTTCGGGTGAACAGATCAACACTAAGAATATTATTGAAAAAAATTCAAAAAAATCTTTAAAAAATAAACAAAGTATAAAAATGGCGTTTAACCATAAACCTAATATTTTCTCAGGAAAAGAAAACGAGGATATTGATAAATTCATAATAAAATTTGAACTTATAGCTGTCGTGAACGAATGGAACGACGAACACAAAGTAATTATTCTACAACTATATCTTAAGGACTCAGCAGAAGATTTTTTTGAACAACTAAAATCAAAAAACGGAAATATAACATGGAACGAAGTCAAAAGTGAATTAATAACAGAATTTACATTAGTAGGAAATAAACACTTACTAAGGGCAAAATTGGAAAATCAGAAACTAGCAACACGTGTTCTTATCGCACTGTTCGTTTTATAGCTTTTCGATAGCACAGAAAACACGTCGACATTCGGAAAGGTAATATGTTTTAATTAATATAACACCCAACCGCATATATTCACGAAATGAATAAAAACCCTACGGGCACTACGCCCAAAAACTCCACAACCAATCGTTCACACACACCCATCTCAAATCCAACCATTTCTACACTTAAAACCAAAATAAATAAACCACCACAAAAAACCGCGTCGATTCAACAATCAACCAAAAACATAGTAGTGCAAGGCACCGACCGTAATATCGGTGTTCCCTCCACCCTAACGAGCAATCATACCTCACGCATCGCAATCAAGAACCCCCTTCTACTCTCCGCCACAACGACACCGTCCAGCGATAACAACCGCGTCGCAGACACTATCGCTAAACACACAAATAATAATATATCCACTAATGACCTACCTATAATATCTTCATCGAATAAGACGGACAACAACAATATAAACTTCGCGTCTGCTGTCGCCATGGAAAAAAACCCCAGCCGTGAACAAGCCTTGGTCTTTAACACTATTGATGGAATACCACAAAAAGATTATGTTCTTGCAATAGGAAAAATTGTTTCTCCTAAACATATAACGTTTATCTCTAGAATCTCGAATAATCGTTTTTGCATCTTTCTGTCCAGCAAACAAATACTCGACAATTTATTTCAAAAAACTCAATCAATCAATATCAATGATCAAACTATACCTATACGCAGATTGCTAAACCCGGCAAAAAGATACATTATATCAAATGTATGCCCATCTATACCCAACCAAGCAATCACAAACGCACTAAACGGCTTAGACATTTTTCCCATATCTCAAATCAGCCACCTCAAAGCGGGTATTAACATTGAAGGTTTCGAGCACATAATGAGCTTCCGAAGACAATTATACATCAAACACGAAGACATTCCTAAACTCCCCAACTCATTGGTTATTACAACAAACGAATCTCAATTCAGAATTTTTTTCACCGATGATATAGTTACTTGTTTCATATGCAAAGCTAGCGGGCATACCTCAAGTAATTGCAAAAATATAAATGCCACACAAAGAAAAAACTCATCATCTAGCCCAAACAAACCCGATGAATACGCTATAGATCACACCGAATTAATTGAAAATATCCGCTCTCCGACAAGTCCAACCCTTGATATCCTTGACCAAACCAAATCAGACTTGACCGAAGATTTAGAAGAAACCAAATTTTTCCCTCTAACTCAAAACCATCTCGATGAAGCACTTTTCCACTCACCAATTGAAACACAAAAAAGACTTATGTCTGATTCTTCATCATCTAAACCTCCAGATTCCCCTAATGCTTTACTACCATCTACCTTAGTTAAAAAAAATGAAAAAACCATCAAGAAACCAAAAATACAATCTCGCTCAAATTCTTCCAACAGTCTCGATATAAATTTGGACGAAAAACTAAATCCAATCATCGAATACTTCACCGTGAATGAGCACTTACCAATCACATACATCCAATTTAAATACATTCTGGACAATTTCAACAATAAATCAATAAACATCCACACACTTATCGAAGATATAAACACAAGCATCCCTACCTTAATGGACATAATTGAACATATTCATCCTAAAATAAAAGACAAGTCACTCAAATCACGTATAACAAAGCTAAGAAATCTACTTTTCCAATCTCAACCTCTTCAACAAAGTTCTACCCAAAACTAAATATGCCTATACAAACATATCAAAACCACACAAGCAATTTCTAAATCTTCTAACTTCTTAACCATGGACTCTATTATTCAATGGAATATAAACGGCCTACATAAACATAATACCGATATCCACAGAGCAAAAACTCTCATCAAACCAATCGCCCTATGCTTCCAAGAAACTAATTTAAAACTTAACACCACTTTTCCCATAAAAGGATATAACGGATTCTTCCAAAACCGCCAAACACACCTCCGTGCAAGCGGCGGAGTAGCTATCTTTGTAAATAATCTCATTGAAAGCACCGAAATTCATATTCAATCCTCACTTGAAGTCATAGCCGTCTCCATACGCCTCAAAACTCCATTATGCATCTGTAACATCTACCTACCGGACAGCACCACTTTCACACTTAATGATCTCAATGACATCATCCAACAATTACCCAAACCATTTATTTTTCTTGGTGCCTTCAACAGTCGTAATCAAATTTGGGGATCTCATTTCACGGATCACAGAGGCAAAATTATGGAAAAATTTCTAGAAAATGAACAGTTAATATTATTAAATACTGGAGAACCCACTCGCCACAACGCAACCCATAATTCCCTTTCAGCTATTGATCTTACAATAACAAATAGTACATTTGCACCAAAAACCAAATGGAACGTACTCAACGAATATAGCAGCAGTGATCATTGGCCCATTTCCATAAAAATCATAGATCAAACAACCCCTATATCCCCAATTGTCCGTTGGAATTTGAAAAATCCAAATTGGGAACTCTATCGAGACATTATAGATCAAACACTTAGTGACCACCCAGTCAATCTAAGAAGCGAAATTAACCAAACCGATATAAATTCAATCATTAACAATTTCTCTAACATAATTTTAGATGCCGCTAATCTCACTATCGGTAAAATAAATATCCAAAAGAAAAAGAAAACAGTTCCATGGTGGAACAAAGAATGCAGTATGGCAATTGGGGCCTATAAAAAATCCTCCTAAACCCCTTCTCGACAAATGAAATAACCCAGAACATCCAAACTGAACTATATTCTACAAAAAAAAATATAGAATTTATGTGGGTACCTTCTCACACCGGCATTGCGGGTAACGAGATGGCCGATAAGTCAGCAGACAAAGCAGTTAAAACCATCTTACATCCAACAATCACTGACATACCGGCTAATGACATAAATATTTCCATTCGAAACAAAATAAATATGACATGGCAAAGTTACTGGGATTCTGTTCCGCCTTCCAACAAATTAAAAAAAATAAAAAAATGCACCCAAAAGTGGCACCATCTCCATAATTTAAACAGACGACAAGAAGTCACTCTAGCCAGAGTAAGAATTGGACATACTTCCCTGACTCATTCTTTTTTAATTAGAAAAGATCCACCACCCATATGTAATCAATGCCAAGAAGACCTAACCATTCAACACATCATCCTAGACTGCCCAAACCTCCAAAACACCAGAAATACCTTATCAATACCCAACAACTTAGAAGAAGCTCTCCATGAAGACAACACCACAAAAATCTTAAATTTCCTTACACAAATTAACATTGCACACAATCTTTAATCAATATGTATTTGTATTCATAATTTAAGACTCTGTAACCTTTTAAATATGTAATCATTAATGTAACCCACACTATGTAAATGTATTCAAGGCTAATAACCCCAGATGTTGAAGCCTCTTTTCTTTCAATAAAAAAAAAAAAAAAAAATAGAAATCAACACTACCAACCACCTATATTTAATAATCAAAATGAATATTATCAAAATAATCCAAGACCAAACTTTTATCCGAATTACAACTATCTCACACATAATAACCAGATGACAAACACCCAGTTTCCTAGACCAAACTTTTATCAAAATTATAATTATAATAATACAAATAATAACCAATTAGGCAACACACTACGCCCTACACAAAGTAATCAGGCAACAATTCCCCATACTAATTATAATTATTTAAATCAACAAGGGCCACCGATATGTTTTCTGTGTGGAATTCCGGGACACATAAAGAGAAACTGTAATACCTTTGTACAAAAAAACTAATAGTTCCGCAGATAACTGGGTCTGCACAGGAACACCAATACATTACCAGTAAGATACCTTTAAATATCGTCAAAAATACAAATACAAATAATACCATTTATACTTATTATGATAATAAAAAAGAAAAAAGAAAAATAGAAATACAAGGAAAAATAAATGACCAAACTACTACGTTATTATTAGATACAGGGGCGAGCGTAACTGTTATAAACAAAAATACTATTAAATGTAATAAATTAACTTCCGAAAGCGAACTCTACCTTGAGACGGCGAACAATTCTAAACTAAACATTCTAGGAACAACTGTGGCTCAGATAAAAATAGGAACGATAGTGATAAATCATAAAATAATAATAGTTGACAATCTATGTACACCAGTAATAATAGGATTAGACATAATGAAAAAAATTAACACAATTTTAGATTTAAAAAATAATTTAGTAACGTTTAATTATAAAGGAACTGAAGTAAAATTAAAAATAGAGCAGGAAGACAAACCAAGAAATACCTTACAAGACACAAACAATATTACACAAAATAAGCAAAAAAATAATTTTCAACAATTTCTATTACAAAATTCAGAAACGTATAGAACCAAATGTAGATACCATGACATTATAGGTAATATATTCACTGAACAAATAAATGATGCCATTGCACATTGTGTCAGTAAAGACTTCAAAATGAAGGCAGGGATTGCACAACAATTTAAAGAAAGATTCGAAGATGTAGACGTATTAAAAGCACAGAATAAAAAACTTAAAGAAATAGCATTTTTAAAGAAAAATAAACAATGGATTTTATATTTAATAACAAAAGACGCATGTAATGATAAACCCACCTATGAAGACATTTTTAACACACTACAAAATTTAAAACAGTTTTGCATAAATCAGTCAATACATAATTTGGGATTACCCAAGGTTTGTTCGGGGTTAGATAAAAAAGAATGGGACTTAATTTCAAAAATGATTAAATTCACGTTTCAAAATACAGATATTACAATAAGAATTTATGAACTAGAGCCCGAACATAAAATAGAATGCAAGTCAATAGCAACAACTCCGGAAAAAAGTGATTCATCAACAATAAATATAAAATACGACGGAGTGGATATTACACAAAAGCGATTTGATGAGTTAACGCATTATGTAGAACAAGAATTTGAAAACATGAATGAACATTTTGCTGACACAATATTACCTCAGACAATATTACAAAACATACTCGTAAAAAATAACGAAAACAATAAAACAATATGTAACATAACAAATTTAATAGATAGTAAAAAAATTGAATTTGATATCAACCCTGAATTGGAAACAAATCAACAAGTAAAACTACAAAAGGATAATGAACTGACAATTTGCACAGTAAAAACTATTAATATACACCTGGAACAATTACGTGATGATACATACGCAAATATTATTAAAGCAATACAGAACCCAGAACTTTCAGCCCATATATGGATAAGAAAATCAAAAAATTATTTTATAAATGAAAACCAAATACTCATGTATAAACATTTAGCTAAGGGGCAATCTATAAATTTAATAGCATTACCAGACAACCGTAAAAATGAAATTTTAAACGATTTCCATGATCACCCCTTATCAGGACACTTAGGCATAGACAAGACATACAATAAAATTATTCAACGATATTTTTGGCCCACTATATATTATAAAGACGTACGCAAATATGTAACATCATGCATTAATTGTCAAAAAAGGAAATCGGATAAAAAAGCGACCTATGGTCAAATGCTAACATCACCAAAAATTATTGGTATACCATTTCAACGATTTACAATAGATTATATTGGGCCAATTAATCCACCAAGCAATGGCAACTCATATATTTTGGTAGGAACTTGCGCAACTACAAAATACGCTATAGCAAAATCATACAAAAACGCTGACGCAAGGTCTACAGTCGCATATTTAATAGATATAATTTTACAATTCGGAGCAATAGGCGAAATACACTCTGACCGAGGCTTACATTTTGCAAATAAATTGGTGAAAGACTTACTAAAAGCGCTAAGTATAAATAACACATATTCAATTGCATACCGTCCACAGAGCCAAGGCCAAACAGAAAAGTTCAACGGACTTTGATAGATATGATTAGCCACTTTGTACAGGAACAACCAAATAAATGGAGTCTATACTTAAAATATGTACTATTTGCGTATAACACAGCAATTAATGATACAACGAAAAACACACCGTTTTACCTATTACACGGATATAATCCAAAATCCATATTTGATCACAACTTTATAAGTACAGAAACATCCCCCGAAATTTTACTGGAATTAGAAAAATTAAAAAATATTCGAGACGAACTCCCAAAATTATTAGCGGACAGATATTTAAAAAATAAAAAACATTATGACTCAAATAAGGTACAGGTAAAATTTAAATTAAACGAAAAAGTACTGGTTAAAGACGAAAATAGAAAATCTAAATTTGCTTACAGGTACAACGGCCCGTTTAAAATAATGAAGCAAGTATCGGATGTAACTTATGTAGTAGAAATAATTAAAAATGGACAGTTAGTAAACGAATACAAACATGTTAGTCAGTTAAAAAAATATAAAGAACGTTAAATAATGCATTAGAATAATTGTAATTATAGTATAAAATGTATATAATAAATATAACGTATAATAAATGTGGGAAAAGAAATAAAATTATTATCGAATATGCTTGCCTAATGAAAACATACAAAAGGTTTTTATTACAACACATACAAATGTGAATTTGAATTTTACTTGGTAAATATATATTAAGAATACCATGTATATACATTTTTAAATGAGACACGTAAAATTAATAAGGTAAACACAAGCAAATGTTGAATTGCAATATTCGAAATAGTCTACGAAGTACTAATAAAATAGTAGCTCAGTAAATCAAAAATCAGCAAAATAAAATAGATACTAAAAGGAAATACAATAAGAATATCATACCTAAATTAAATTATGTACAGCAAGCACAATTACAACAGTTTTAATTTTTTCTAGCACATTATCAAATTTTGTTACCCGTATAGCATTCTAACGATTTTCAGTGCGTAAAAAATCTTACGATATCACTTTACCTCCATGTATAGTAATTAATTAATAAATTTAAGAATAAGGTGTCGAGATAGAATAGTGCAATAAGAGTAATATTATTAAATAATCATTTATGTACTTTTATTTTTTAGCATAAGGATAAATTAATTTTTTTATTTGACCATAACAACCACAAAAAAAAGTGTAAGCAAAAAAAAGAGTGAGAAGTTTACAAATTTAGGCGACTATAACCGAACCATAAACCTCGAATCCAAGACATATTATGGTGGTTCAATCAAGACCGTTCACGACGCCGAGGTTATAGCGGTACAGCGTGCACCTATCCAAGGACAGACCACGATAACAGACCTCCCTGTTTCAGTACTGGTTGAGGCCTTGAGGGACCGATGACATCCAAACGACGGAACGGGTGAAGAATAATTTCGGAACACTAATATCGTACATGAGTGTGATGTGGATTTATATTGTAAATTTATTATAAGGCATAGGTATATTATGTAAAAAAAAAAAGAGCGGGTGAAAACATGCGTTAGGCCTTAGGCGTATATATACAAATGTAGAAAAAGGGTTCACATAAAAAATATTATTATAAAAAATAAAAATGGTAGTAAAAAACTGGTTGAAATTTTACAATGACACTACCACCATATTA